ATGTATTATGTACTCGCGTTAAAATAGAGGGTAGTTTTTTTTTTTTTTGTGTTTTACGAAAATGGAGCAAAAAACAGAAGAGGATGATAAAAACAAATCAGGCACTACTACACTCTAGCCGCTTCTGGCGGAATGCAGGGAGGAGGGGAGCCGGTCACGTATAGGGTGACAGGACGAAGCGACGGCGGCGGGTGTCCCCACCGAAATCCCTTTGTCCCGCCCATCGAACCCGAAAGCGTCGCGCGTTCTGACCGGCGGCGGCGGCGGCAGCACATAAACGACATAAGCCACCCCGGCGGCTGATAGGTACACATATTGTTGTGTGGTGCACATCGTGCGAGCCGCGACGCTATCCCGACGTGCAATCGCACACCCGACGCGACCACCGATCGCACGTACCGCGCGCACACACACCGTTGTCCGCGCCGCCGACAATACGTATATTACAGGGCCGCACGCGGGTTCGCAAAAGACATTAGCGGTGTCCGTCAACAACACAGTTACTGCCGGCGGTGTCCGTTTGGTTTTTCTTCGCGCGTGTTATGCACCACGTCCGCCGTGTCCGGCATGGTGCTCGGCGGCGATTCCGTTGTCGGTGAACTCGGCGCGGCCTCCAGACTGGACCCGTCCGCAAATATCGGAGGACTGTTCACGGCCCTCAGGCCCGCCATGGATCTGTCCACGGCCGCTTATCGGTACAACCAGAACATGATGGAATACTATACCTGTGAGTTTGTCAGCCTCTGTCGGGTTCGGCGAGAAACGATTTTTTCGTTTTTGTTTTATCTTTTCTTATTTTTGAAATTTCTATTCGCTCAGCGGCCAACGACCGCGAATCGTGGTGGAGTTTCCAACGAGAGTAAGGCCGAAAGATTCTGGTGAAAATATCAGGATTAGGCAAAATTGTAATTAACGCGACGCCGGCACCCAAGTCTAATTATTCGTTTACTCAACCGCATCAGAACGCCTTGCCTCTGCTTCCGCCGCCGTCTTACCGTCACGCCGATTGTGCAACTTAATCGATTCTCGTTTATAAACACATACACACACGTTTTTAGTTTGTTTTCATCGCAAGTGATTAGCGCCGCCGATTTTTTTATACACGCGACAAACGATCGGCGTGTTGCACAATTGCGGCGGTCGCGTTTAGTTTTATTTACATTACACCGCCCAAAGCTAATTAGGAAAACATACACTGCGGTGTTTGATTGGCACATTATAACCTACCCCTGGTCTGGTACATAATATTGTTATATTAATTTTTTTATACCTAAAATATTGCGGCGATACGCAACTTTCGTCTTTTCAACAAAACTGACATTCAATAATTATCGACATCAAAATATTAAGCAAGCTCGAATCTCTAAAAGCTTAGCTCTTATACCATACTATACATTTACTATTGATAAGTAGACCCTGAGCATCTTTCTAAATCCAAATCTAATATTAAGTTAAACGTTTGATACAATACCAATATTACGACGTGTTTTTAACGTTAACTTGAAATATACTCAACGGTAAATTCGACAGTGATAACGGGCACGACCCTGGTTGAGCAACGCGATCCAAAGTGCTATGTAAATGAATTTTCCACGATAGAGCTTATTAGTACGGTGTGAAATGTAATTTATAATACGTTAATGTAATACCTCAGGTAGTTGAAATCATTATTTATCCGGTCTATAATATGATAAATATTTCACAAGATTCGTTTGTATCAAACATTGAATGTAGTTATATTATAAAATATAGTTAAAAATATAACTAGATGAACTTTTGTTCACAAAAAACTGTAGATTTATAACTGTTGTAATTGTAGGTACATGAAACTAGAACCAATTTGCACGTCCGATTAATTTCACTTTCTACGCTGTAACTTTTGTCAAACAAACTTTAAAATTTGTATTTTCCATCTAAACACAATTAAACATTTCTAGGGAAATAGGGCTTATGATATTTCGTTGGTTAATCAATGTATGTTGACTATTTTTGAAATAGCTGTAATGCCGTAATTTTAATATAAAAAATGTGGTTAATATTTTTGGTGTTTTTCTCGATTTTGTATTATTTTAACTTTCGGCCCAAATTGAGTACTTTTCAGATACGATTTCTGATCTGTAAGCTTGTCGCATGAATACATTGGTGCAGCGGTTTAGGAGATATCGTGGATCCAGACACAAAAATAAAAACACATAATTTCAAAAACAATCCTTCTCAGCTCCTCGTCGAAGCTGAAATTATAAACCAAAAAATCGTATCAAATCAAAATAATTGTTTACCTTCTTCTCCCTTTTTAACTCATTATCGTCATCGTATAGCTTAACAGACCTGCAGGTCCATTGCTGTAGAATTTACTTTTGGGACGGATCGCCGCGGCTTCTTTACACCAGACTAGGTTTTCCGTCCAGCAAACAGAACCGTCATATCCAGTGTCGAACCGGTGACAGTGAGCACTGACTCGTCCTAATCTTTTTACAAACTACTCACCAAATAATAAAAAAAAAATATTATATATTCTTTTATTTTTAATTTTGTTATTGTGTAAGTATAAACAATTGACCCCAATTTTCGTTCTCAAGACCATGCATATTTATCGAGACCTGTATAAAAACATCCCCTCATTGTTTGTGTAAATTATCTTTTTATCGACTAATGTTTAGTACTATGAGCATCCAACCAACGCACATACGTGTGGACTAATGTTATAGACGCGTGCAGGCCCTTCAGTCGATATTCTATATTCTATGGGGAAGATTCATTAGAAGAGTAACAAGGGCGTGTGCAGTGTTTGGTCCCCGAGGGCCAAACACTTTTGACGGCAACATAGTTGGGTTTTCCGTTTTATCACTGATTGTTTTTGCAGCGCTGTCGATACCACATCAACAGAATGACGAGCCCTGCTTAAAGTCAACGGCGCTTCATTTTTATAGGCTAACCGCAGTTTGATTTTATTATACCTCGACAATATATATTATATATTTTTTTTAAAGACTACATATAGGTAGTAGAAGTATACTTATGTGTAAGTGTATCAACAACTAACTAACACAGCGATTATCTCGAATATAATTTATATAAAAAACCATAGTATATGAAAAAAAATGATAATTATCCATTATTCCTTTCATAAAACATATTTATAATTTAGAAAACGAATTAACCTTAACTTATACCTGTTGGTCACTAAATACCTAACGAGACGACCCACAAGTAGCTATTTTTCACAATACATTTTATTCATTATTCACTGTAAAACTATTAATGATATTATTATTTCGTAATAAATGTCAAGTAAAATATTGCTCGTACGATTAAATAAGTAATGATATAATAGAATTGCATATTATATTTATATGTGTTATCAAACATGTCCAATATCTAATTAATGTATGTAATACTGTAATATGTGTATGTATACATGTTTGTTGAACTCGTGTATTGTTTACTTGATTCAGTATAATATGTTTACAAAATGGCCATCGGTTACCAAATAGGTGTGTATGCAAGGGAAACGGTATAAATAATTAGTCGACGGGGTTTATATTGTTTTCTAGTTGTCGGGTCGAGAGCCAATATGTCGACGCCCAACGGCGTGGCGATGACTAACTCTTAATAGCCGCCGCCCTCCTCTTAACCCCTCAAACCACTTCAGAAACGGTAATCTGCTTAATTCGGCGGACAACCCCTGCGCGGCCCCGGCAAACAAGATTATCTCGTTAAACCATCATTCTCTATCTGTGTTCTCTATCACTATACACATAGTGTATTTGAGCGGGTTGTTTGTTGGTATAATAAACGCCCACCACAACGGGACACGCGTCGAGAGGTTTTAAACCACCGGTGTTTATATATAATGTATATTCAATGAACATTGTTTTGCTGGTTGTTATCTGCAACCGGACACAACACTGACCGCCCAACACCTTTTATTCGCACCGATTCGTTTTGTTCTATTGTGAGACGTCCAATCATCATATAGTAACAATAAAAGGCCAGACCAGATGCCCATTTAAAATCTCACCACTGGACAGATGTTCTAATTAAAAAAAAAACGTATCAAAAATCTGTATCGGTACAAATTCGTTAAAGAAATACAAATGCCAATTTTGTCCTAATTTTCAATATGTCAATATTATCAATAATCACAAATCATTAGTGGCATAACATTGCTAGTTGTCAGGTGTGGTGAGTATTCTATTTACTGACTTGTAAACTAAGGAGATAATCGCGTAGGTACGCTATAAACTGTATGGTTTGTTATTTGTAAAATTAAAATTTATTCGTGAAAAAATCAAATATTCTATTGAAATGAAGTAATTCATGCCTTACTTTGTTTGAATAAAAACAATGTATTTTCGTTCTATCCAAATTATTTATTATCTAATCTAATTTTTTCTGTTATTGTAGTTCAATACAACGTCGATATAAACAATTCTAAAACATTATGCTACAAAACTTATAAAATATCATATTCTAATAATATAGGTCTAAAAACACACGTTTTAATGATTCAATTATATGTACATATCGGAATAGACGAGCGTGATTTGTAAGCGTACTCACATTAAGTTTATACAATAGGTGTAAATATGCCTATATTTAAGGATGTGTATTTTTTTTTTTGTAGATAAAAACAGGACAAATTACGTGACTGTGGGCTGTTCTACAATAATATTGTTGCAGTTGTGTAATTATTGTTCGGTATCGGATGTTGTTCGATGGTTTCATTTTTTTTTTTAAGTTTTGCGGTGTGTGCATATATATTATAACGTGTATTGTACGTTATTGTAGTATAATAATAATGAACGAAATAAAAAAACCAAAAAATACTTTTAAGGAACCAACTACCAATCTGTACACCTAATAATAATAATTATAATAAGCCATCCGCCATAGCCAACAATAGTATAATAACAACAACAACAGTTATTGTCACTATCGTAGTTACTATATGCTGATATTAATATTAACGAATGTTTTTTCTCTCGTTTTTTCAATAGGCCACGGTGGTGTGAATCAACTGGGAGGAGTGTTCGTCAACGGCCGACCGTTACCAGACCTAGTCAGGCAGAGGATAGTGGAGTTGGCACATAACGGTACTAGACCCTGTGACATATCCAGACAACTAAGAGTGTCGCACGGGTGCGTGTCTAAAATTTTATCCAGGTAAGAATCATTTACAGTATAATTATACAATTTTCTTTTGTAACATAGACACGAGTAACAATCAATAGAATTGAACGTGTAGTCCTACAAGTCATAGCCATAAAAAAATACAGGAAAAACAATTGAGGTGGTTAGAGATTTTGGAAATATTATTTATGAAATTGTTAGTCACTACTCATTACTCGATTCTATGTATAACCTAAAGGAACAAATGTTTTTTTCCAATTCTTTATTGATGGTTGATAAGTGATAATCCGTCTTCAGTACCCAATCAAAGCTCTTCACATGGTATCAGAGAATTAATCTATTTATTTACAACTACTGCGGATAAGTTCGATTCTGTTGGTACAAATATAAAAATAAGCTAGTGAAGCGTCTCTATTCGGTATCTGAATTTCAGTTGCATGTAATTGTTAATGTAAATAAATACTTTTTAAAAATAAACAGCCGACGTTTTACTATACTAAGGACGATGTTTTTTTAGCGTTGTTCCTTTCAATATGAAACAATTATTCTAGAATACCGGAACCAAGATAATGGATCTGCTCTTTTAAGCCTCGACCGCAACCGATGTCCACGGACTTTCCCCCGCTTCCGGTTCTCTCTGCAACAATATCGTCCCTGTATATTATATATTACACATTTTTTTTTTTACAAACATACCCTAATAAAATAGAGAAGGTCGTAAAAACCATGTCGCCGCTATTAATTTTTATGTTACTCTCCTCCGGTTCATTCGGTTGGTCTCCCTCTCACGGCCGTACGCTCTTCTTGCGAATCTTTATGCCCATTTATTTATTTTATTATTTTGTTTTTTTTTGTTCGCGGAAACGGGTTACGCGTGCTGGTGTATTACATGCATTATGCATTAAGGCACAGTGGACCCGCTGCCGTTTCCCCCCAAAAAAATGTATATTAAGTACTTTAACTTCATATAGCTACTTATATATCACACATGTACACACATTAAAGTTCAACGCGAATGAATCGTGATTCGATTTTGAAAAACACTTATTTATATGATAATGTTTTGCTGTTTAACTGTATTATTAATAGTACACAGTTTACACGTTCAGTTAGTAGCTAACCTAACCATCGTTATAAAAAAAGATTTTGTTTTTCTAACAAAATGTGTTATTTTCCCAATAAAAATAAAAAATTCACACTACTAGATAATTAACATCAAGAAGACGCTCTCCGCCCATTTTTATGGAGTAAAGTATAGGCATTTTTTTATAAATCAGGCTATACTGTGATGTGTAATTATTAGTTCAGTGGGACCCTATTTTTTTTTCTAGTAGTTAAATTATTTTTCGGACTATCACAGCATCCTTGACAGCGATTACAACATTTTTTTTCGTTTAAACACATTCTCAATTATTGACTAAATAATAATCGTAGACAAATTTTTTTAAAGTAATGAGAACTTTATCTGGGTTTTCTCTAGCTTTTTTTATATAATTGATCAAACATTCACTTTTTATCATTTTTTACTTATTTAAGTGCTTATATATATAAAGTAAAATTTAAGTTTTCTAAAAAAAAACGACGAGAGAACGCAGCTTTTCTCTTTTTATCGATATCAACATTTTTTTTTTGACCTACACGTTTTTACGGTTATATTTAAAGGGTACGACGTCCTTTTAATAAGTAATAACAATTTTTGTACATCGCTTAAAATATTCGATAAGCGCCCACCTATCAAAATTATTATTGGCCTTAAAGAGTGGCTGGTAATTAAATAATCATTGCTGTATATTAACCTGGTACTCGATGCTTAATTTAAATTGCAATATCATAGGATTGAATTCCCAATGTTCCCTACCATTTTCTACCGTTCTTTTATAATATAATGCAAAACAAAAAACAAAAGTGGTTTCTTTCTTTTTAAATGAACTGTCATTGCATATCCGTATCTCATTCGATTCGTTTCCTTCTTCTCCGGTTCTCCATCTCCCCGCCCTCATACTGCTGACACCGCACCCTTCCTTCGATTTCCTCCCAGTGAGTTTTAATAACATTAACCGCGAGCGTATTATCCGTGCGGCTTCTGGGAAATGTCACTGGGTGTGCGCGTGCCGGGTCTAAGTGCAAAATTGAGTTAGCCTCGCGTGTATACCACCACCGCAGTATACATTTTCTATCTGTTATGGTGTATAGCTGTTGCCACCGCCGGTCGAACCCGGTTTTGGAATTATTAGGGTTGACAACGGCGCGAGCAAAAAAAAAAAAACATCCGTGAAAAATTGTTATTCTCCATTGAACAATAGGTCTCGATTATGATTTCTCTTGCCCAGAAAAAGGTTACACACACATCGTCGGGGACTGTGTCTAATGTTGATAAATTCATAACCATTTTCTACTATGGATGAAACAGTTCTCGCGCATCAAAAAACAAAACAAAAAAATATCAATGACACGCGCAATGATTTTGAAATACATTATTATATTAGCAAACTTATATAGAATATATTAAAATTAAAAATGCGTAGCGCCGTTCTTGACGTTCGCCAAATTTGCATCACTATAGTATACTATAATCAGTGTTTAACTTGTATGAGGAGGGGGAGGGGGTATCTAGAAATCGTGAAAACAGCTAAATGTATTATATTATATCGTCTATACTTACACGTAGTAGATATCTAATTCAAATCAACTATTTTTTTCTGTCATTATAGTCTGTGGTTTAAAAATAAGTACCTATACGGGTATCGTCATTTGCGTGTTTCGCCTTACAATAAAATAAAGTTACAGTAAAGGTACACAAAATCATCTGAAAATGATATAGTTAATGCACGGACTACTTTAAATACCACACGTTTCCCCATCAGTCAAGGCCTGGCAGGGGCCTATCACGTTAAACTGCTGTTGCCTTTTTTGTGATTCGTAATAATATTATTTTAATAGCTTGCGTGTGTTCTCCTGGACTTGGCTCAGGTGTAGACATTGATAAACTGACATTCACTCTAAATATAACCCGTTGCCAACATTGGACTATAAATGCGCGCTCGGATTTCGGGTTTTCGAGTGTGGAAAAAAATAACACGCTTGATGTGCATACACAAAGTTCCAATTTAACGATTCGTTTGTTCCAATTAATTTGGTCGGTATAAACTTTATGGCTTGAAAGTACGGGGGCGCGATGATATTATGTCAACGAAACGAGCCGTTCGTCGGTAGATACTCGCTAATTGACTAGCTTGATTATATCTTTGAGCAAGGACACTCATTTGAAACAGAGCAGCGACAACGGAATCATTTCATTTACAATAATAGAACACCCAATGTTTCTCTTCACATTTATTTCACCATACTTCTACTAATTATTTGCGCATATTTTATGTGTTCGGACGATACAGATACATTTTCCACAAGGTGACTTATATTACTTTACATGTTTTTGACACACGAGATCCTATATTCGACAGTAGTTACAATTGGCGTAAATGGGAGCTTGATTTTCTCCAGTTTAACCATTGGCTCTTCGTATGCTATCCTACTGCTTCATAAACGGGCGATACTGTAGACTTTAGACTATAGGTCATACGGCGAAAACTCTAATGCGATATTACATACATCTACATTACACTACACACACAAGAGCTCCGCCGAACCCCTAGACACGTCCGGCGCTCATGCTAATACTTTTTGGGCGTCGCATTTAAAACCGTCCGGAAACAATGGCTGGACCTACATGAATAGACTAAAATCTGCATTTTCTATAATACGAAAAACGCGCAGAAAGCAACGACAAAAAAATTATACCTATACATTATACAATCTTCGTACACACACGTACATACAATGTGATGTTAAATAAATAATGCCAAGCGTAGTGTATTATGATAATAATATTGTTGCTCCGTGATAATAAATAATCGCGAGCTCCTTTGTTTTGGACGGGATATCGTGTCCCGGAAGTAGGACATCTTCATATGCATATAATGACCAACGGTCATTTTTCGCGCAAGTCCCCGGTGACGGCCGCGGCCATTGGGACACAAGGCCCTTTCATATGGTAAAAAGGCTATTGTGTTCGCGTTGCGCTTTACAGACTTATATTATATAATATACTGTAAGGTGTGTGCTTTTTCTATAGGAAAAAAAATGAATTTATACATGTACATAGGTACTATATATATATATATATATATATTAATATATTACATCGTTTTTAACACACGATAATAAAATCAAAATATTACAATAATAACAGCATCCAGTATTGCGTTACGCTATGACTTGTGCTAACCGCCAACTACATTATAATACAGTATATGATATTATTATTTTCGCTTTGCAGGTACTACGAGACTGGTAGCTTTAAAGCCGGCGTTATCGGAGGCAGCAAGCCCAAAGTGGCAACCGCACCCGTCGTAGACTCCATAGCAAATTACAAACGAGAAAATCCGACCATGTTCGCTTGGGAAATCCGCGATAGACTATTGGCGGAAGGCGTTTGCACTCAGGACAACGTGCCCAGCGTGTCATCGATCAACAGGTAAGAACAAATGTATTATTATACGCAAATCGGTTTAATTAGTGTATCAAAGCAATTGTTGCGATATCTCTTCTAAGCTATCATACGTTTGACTACATCGAAAAACAGAAGCAAAAAAAAATACAATTAAAGTTGATATTAATGCACTTCAGTACTTGTAGCGTTTTAGTGTCTAACAAACAAATTTAGTGTCGCTCTATATACATATCTATGCCCATTATACTGAAATACGTTTATTAGAGATTTAATAAATCAATTTAGATTTATTGGTTCTTTAAAGCTTAAACAACATTTAGCTGGTTCGATTGATAATAAGGCATTCAAATTATATTAATGTACCCGTTACTAAATGGGTTACAATATATTACCAGATAAGAACTAGGCGTTAAAACCAGAAGACACGTTTGTGCGTCGAACTGTTTATATATTATTAAAAATATTGACCGGTATAAGGGTGTTTTTTTATAATGCGGTCCTGATTTGTTTGAAGGTGGTCTTATTGGCTGAGTAAATGTCTTCAAACGTATCCACTAAACGCTTGTACATGCACTATTATAACATGTACGATATATTATTCAAAACAACCGCCCATATGTTAACACGATGATGTGTTATTAAACAACGTGTTTTCTATTATGATAAAGACCACTCGCGAGTATAGAGTAACTTGATCATGAGGGGCTGTAGGAGATTACACGATTAGGCGATGATGATGATAGTGAGCAATAACAATAAAAAGGGTGTAAACACCCAGCGATCGGTCGAGTGGACGAGAGGGGGTGGTGGCAAGGTCTGTGTTTTTATTAATCGTCGAATGGCAGTGAAAGAGCAACTGCGCCCATGGGATTAACCGGGGGCGCTATATTAAAACACCCCGGTCGTTTTCTAGATTGCAAACTGAATGTAAGTTGTATCGTGGATTTCAAGAGCTTTTTGGCTTTTGATGATCATTGTCGTCACGGGTTTGCGATTTAGTATCGCAGAGGTATGTTTGATATCCGCTAGAAGCGATTTGTAACGGCGTGGCTTGTGTATGGGTGCGTGCTGCAGACAAATCAAACACGGGTCTGAAAATTCGTCATGGAACCAAGAGAGTGAGAGGAAGAGAGAAAGAGAGAAAAACATAGAAAGAGGGAGAAGAAAAACGCACGCAGTATTGCGCAATCGTTTGTGCTGTGATTGGGAAATGCCGGTAGATTCGAGAAATATACTGATGCACTTTTTGCGTTAATGCGATTGATAAAATTAATCGGTTTAAATCCTTTCCTTTTTTTTCCAAGATAAACAATCAAACACATTATGACGAGTACACGTCTTACGAACGAATATCACACGATTAACGCTTATTTTAATTAATTTTTTTTTTTTTTTATAAACGAGTGTGGGAGAGCCTAAAAAGTTACACGAAAAAAAATACATAGGAGGACCGACTAAAATTATGGTTAATATAAGAACACAATAAATGTATAGTCGGAATAACTAAAAAAATTGTTGGGCCAGCTGAATGTTTAGTTAAAGAAACTATACTATAGTTAAGAAAACTAAACGATTAATTGGCCTAACTATTCCAACTATACATTTGTTGTGTCCCTATGTTAACCATAATTTCAGTTGGTCTAGACTCTAGCTGTGTATTTATTTCCATATATTCAAAAATAACTACTATTTAGTGTTATTCGTAAAGATTTGAATTCATGTGCTATACCTTGTATCTATATGGTAAGACGATTTCTTAGTATAAAAACAGCGGCCGAAAATCTGGGCAATTGGAAGGCCTGTCGTATTTTCGGGAAGCAGTTCCGACCCCATAACAATAATAATAATAATCATGTTTAAAATATTCATCGTTTAAAATCTGTTGACGTGGACAGTACCCTTAGGCTTTGAAAATAACTACTACTAACAACATGCATTACAACGTTTAAGCTTCACTGACCTCGCATTGTTATCGATCGTCGTTGCGCCGGGCTGTTAATCATCGGCATGGATGGCGACCGGTACGGTAGAAACTCAATAGCAGTATTGCACATCTGTTGTGCTGTGAAAATCATCGGTTCGTGTTATTATTATTAATATCATTATCTTCATAAAGTCGGAAACGCGCAACCTGTTGTTCACACCCTCGCCCCCTCAACGCTCTTGAGCGTAAGCGTGGCCATTTATCATTTCCGTGCGATTGAGTATGAAGAGAAAAAAAGGCTAATCCGAAAAGGATAGCACTCGGTGCGCTCGCGCGCGCGCTAGATGACTCAATGACCTGCTACTCTCCTATATAGCCGTCATGTAGGTACTATATAATAACACAATACATTACTTACAGACGGTCGGTTGAGTCTCGATCCCCAGCAGCTATACCAGTTTCCAACACATTAAGCACCGCGCCGTCCGAAAATCACATTTCACAGTGGCGGGTCACGAGTGAAATGTGACATTCGAAAATAGCGGAAAACATTCAAAGTCAAAACACCAGTCCCTTTGAGTACCGCATGTGCAACTAAATATTTTACAATTATTAGTCGATCGCCGTCACTAGTAAACAGGTTCGACCTAATGTCACCACACGAGATTTTATCTCCGGCAATAAGCGCCGTGGGCGCAAAAGAGTATCTGAATTCAGAGCGCATCTATATAGTCATGACGGTGAGCGCAATATAATGTGTATATATACATATAATATATTATTATATACTTACACTGGGGGGTTTTACGGTAACGAAAAAGGAAAAGGCGACCGGCGAGCTGAGACGTGCGCTGCTGGATTCTTCGAGATATCGATCTCACCCTTCTTTTTTCCCCCCAAAAAAACCCTTGGCCGTCCTCCCCTATCGTCCACGGCTAACTAAGTCACTTTCTCGGCTATAACCCCCTTCCGAATCCCCGTCACCATAACCACCGCCACGCGCACATACATACACACATGGCCTGTGCTCGTTCAAACCGGAAAGCCGTGGAAAATGTTATCGGGAGGCGCCACAGAATGTTCATTACTAACTTCACAGTTAGTGTTCATTACTCGTATTCAGTGTTGTTCAACGTACCTACGACAACAGCTAAAGCCGAGTAGTTACACATTTCTCTTTTAGTCTTATGATATAAAATAGACGAATTCATTTAAAAAATGAACCGTCAAAATCATCCCAAGTGATCAACCAGAGCGACGAGTGTGTAAGCCCGGCATAAGTGAAACCGTCGTCAATGGCCTGTGATCGTTATCTACCCTAAAAAAAAAATAAACCCGTTGATGGTTTATTAAATACGACAAATCTTCGTCCGGGGGTAGATGGTATCTGTGACGCGCACATGTCGTCGCCTTTATCGCGGGTTTTGATGGTTATTGTTATTATCATACGATGGCGATGATGATGATCTATGATCTCACTGCAGAGCCGCTATGTCGAAAATGCTATTATCTTGTACGTTAGTTGATGCGCTCATGATTTTTGTTCGATTTGTTTTTTTACTATTTTACTTTCGGCGCGCGATGACTAACCGCTGTGCCCCGCTCGTTAGCAGCGTGGTGGGGAGAAGGAGGAGGACAGAGTAGCACACGCTCAAGCACAATGGCGTTCTTCAAACCCATTGCCCTCCCCTCTTCAACAAGACACTAGTTGTCCACACGGAAAACCGCAGATTTGCCACGGTAAACTGAACCCGTGTCATGCTAAACACTTTAACAACACTGTAACCGCTCAAACGTCATACCACAAAATGTGTCCTACGTCGTGTCGCAATAATATGGCTGAACGGATATAAGTATACACATATACACACTATAAATGCATGTTGTTGTCAGGTTGGAGAACGCTTTCGTTTAATAATCGGTACACGACTAGAAGAGCCGATTCGCAAATAAAAATGTTTTATGTTCAGATGCGAATACCAAACCCGTAATACAGATTAACGTACGATAGGTTAAAAATGATAGGGCGAAGGAAACAGAAAAAAAAGGAGAGTTTTATAATAGGTAATAAAAAGTAATCAGAGAACTTCGTCCATAGGAAAGGATAACGATAAGCCTGCATGGGCTGCTTAAGCTGTTTCCGAATAATAATCGGTATTTATCATGTTTTTTTTTGTAGAATTAGGTATCACATAAACAATTATTTTTGTTCTACTACACAAATACTGCATTGGTTTTTTCCATACTGAATAAATACACGATTACCCATTAGCCACACACATTTTTCTATTTAATTTGGAATGCAGTGGAGTGTTTCGAACCTTATTTTCATGCCATATATAGGCACTAAGATACGTATAATTGTACAATGATACATTATTGGTTATAACTTATAATATAAATGATTATGACCTTCGTCCCTAAACACCTAATGAAAAATTTAGTAAAGTTAATGAATTGTTTTTAGAAAATTTCACCGTAAAATACTAACATAAATATGTGAAACCCAATTGGCACTAACAAAGAAAATGTTACACTTAATAGATCGTCCTATAGTATCCATTGTATTGTAAGTAGGTATTATGTATGTTGCATTCAATAAAGTGAATAAACCGTATATACAGACAAATGACAATAAAACGCGCTCAACCAATTACAAGTTTGTCGCAAAACAAGTGGATCGAATTATTGGAGAATCGCGCAAGGAGGAATACAATTGGGGGGGGAGGGGGGCATGGTACTATATTACACAATAAATGGCATTTTCCGTGCCACGAGGTAGACGAGGACCACGTAGTACAAGCGTGTGGTGCAATACGGTTGAACTGTCTCTGGTGGCCTATAGTAGTAGTAGAAGTAGTAGTATAAGCGGTGGCGGAGTAACGATGAGGGGTCGACGTTCACCCCTTATGCGATAATCATAATATAACGGCAATAATTCCACCCTGACGTCGTGTATCCGGCCAATCGGACGTGGCAAATGCCATTAAAACGCGACCAATCGGATCACGCCGTCTTACAACGGAATTATAGCGTTTTATTTTTTTGTGATGGTCCCAAATACAGATCACACTTCGGCGACGACGAAAAACAAGCAGCT